TATTTGGGACACATTGTGTCGTCCAAGGGTGTAGCTACAGACCCTGAAAAGGTGCGAGCTGAGTGGCCGACACCTAAGTGTGTGAAGGAAGTGCGAAGCTTTGCTGAGCTGGCCTCACCGTTGCATACTTTGACTGAAAAGTCAAGAGAATTTGTCTGGACCAAGGCTTGTCAAGAAGCATTTAAGGAGCTTAAACGGAAGTTGAGGGCAGCTCCTGTTTTGGCTTACCCTCTGCCAGACAGTGACTACATCCTAGACACGGATGCTAGTGGAGTTGGAATAGGGGCAGTTTCGTCCCAGGTCCACGGATGCAAAGAGGAAATTATCGCCTATGCCAGCGGCAAATTGAGTAGAGCTGAAAAGAACTACTGCGTTACGCGTCGGGAGTTGTTGGCGGTAGTGGTCTATTTGAAACAGTTCAGGCAGTACCTGTATGGTAGGAAGATTGTCCTTCGACACTGACCATGCTGCCCTCCGGTGGTTGCTTAATTTTACGAGCCCCGAGGGCCAGCTTGCTAGATGGCTTGTTATCATCAGTGAGTATGATTTGACCATTCAACACCGACCTGGACAAAGCATAGGAAATGCCGATGGGCTGTCCAGGAAGATCTGTGAGCAGTGCAGTCGGCATGATGATGATGAGGAGGCAGTGGAGGTACCTCAGGTAGCTGATGAGTTTGAGGGTGCTGAACCTCCTGGTATTTTTGTGGGTCAGGGAGAGTTGTTGCTGATCCAGGAGTTCCAAAGGTTGAGATGAGGGGCATTTTTTCCCAAATTTGTATGCTGAGGGATGCTGTTGGGCAAGCACAGCTGAAGGATCCCAGCATGAGTTGGATTGTTAAATCTAAGGAGGAGCTGAGCAGTAGACCTCTTTGGGAAACTGTTTCAGGCACCTCGGCTGCCCACAAAACGCTATGGTCCCTCTGGGACCAGCTGCAAATGCGCAATGGGGTGCTTTGCCGAAGGTGGGAGTCTGACGATGGGAAGTCAGTCACGTGGCGACTGGTACTTCCAAGGAAGCTTCAAGAAGAGGTCCTTCGTGAGCTTCATGGTGGTCGGACGAGCGGTCACTTGGGTGTCACAAAGACACTGGCCAAGGTAAAAATGCGGTATTACTGGCCAGGAATGACCGCTGACGTGAGGTCTTTCATAAGACAGTGCAAACTTTGTGGAAGGAGGAAGTCTCCTGTAAAGAGGAGAGTTTCCCCCTTACAACAGTACGTGGTTGGAAAGAGTGGCTGTGGACTTGCTGGGGCCACTGCTCCGGAGTGACAGTGGCAGTTCTTGGATCATGGTGGTCGGGGATTACTGCTCCAAGTGGATGGAGGCATATCCCCTTCCCGATGCCAGGGCTGAAACAGTGGCAAATAAATTTGTCATGGAGTTTGTCTGTAGGTTTGGGATTCCTTTGGAAATGCACTCAGACAGTTGTGGGTAGGACAGTTTTTCCAGCTTGTTTGTGACGTCATAGATGTATACTTTTCTTGGTCAAGAGAGGGAGCTCTTGGCGCGCCAACATCGTCACATTTCTTGTTAACTGAAGAAAATCGTCAAAGATTCCTTTGATTTTGCTTCATATTTGAGACGCCCAATGTTGTCAGTACATATAATTGCTTTGGGATTTAGATAAAGGTTTAGAGATTATTGTGTATAGAGGGGAGTAATAACTACGGTCATTAGACATAGTTACTTTGGGTCAACTTTTTGGGGTAAGATTTGGGTAAAATTAGCGATACACGTTTTATAGATGTGACATAGTTCTAGACATCAATTGCTTCAGTTTGCTTGGCTTACTGTCAACCAAGGTTAATTTCTGGTGGCTTGCTAGGTCACGTGTACATGTAGTTGTTAATGAGGAAATAATTCACGGACACAATTCCATCAGTTTGGGGATCAAATCAGTCAGTTTAATTCATTTAGTTTTCATTGTAATTGATTCATATGTGCCCAAGTGTATTTTGGCATGATTCTAGAGACTTACTGTATTTTCTGGTTTGTATTACTTGCAGATTGAACCGTACGTACATACGTAGTCATAGTTGGTACTGGTACAATACAAGGGTGAACAGTAATTCGTCATCAAGGGAGTTCTTTTTGTCGTCATCCGTCACTCAGACCAAGGGACAAACTTTGAGTCGGCTGTCTTTGCTGAGATGTGTCGGGTTTTGGGCATATCCAAAAGTCGAACTAAAGCGCACAACCCAAAGTCCGATGGACTGGTTGAGCGATTCAATAAGACTTTGACCAACATGGTTGCTGTGATGATTGAACCAAAGAGGAAACAACGTGACTGGGATGAGTGTCTGCCATATCGTCGATCGCACCACGATCCGGCGTATCCTCGTTTTTTGGGCAAAGTGACATTTTGCTACATTAATGAAAATATGATTGAAATGAATGATTTAACCCAATTACAAGCTTGTCAGGTCTTTAATTAAAGAATTATAGAAACTAACAAAAAAGTCATTTGCGGAAAAATCAGCCACATTATTTTCACGAACCGTCGCATAAGTTCACATCTCAATGCCAATCTAAGAAAAAGAAAACGATCGTCTAACAAAGAGACGTATCCCGATACGTCTCGTGCAGAAAACAAAACAAGCCACTTTTATTGTGCGCCCTCTGTCAAAATACGACGTTTAGCTCACGTTGAACCTCGTACACAGAGTCGAACAATAATGGTACGGTACGGCCTAGTAAGCCTATGCTTAGTTTTGCTTAGTACGAGGGTGAGAAGTTGACTCTGGTTTTACCGTGGTTGACCAGGCCTGGCTTCGCGGCGAAATGGCTGAAAACAGCACCTTGCCCCCCAAAAAGGCAGCTTTAAACAGCAGAGGTAAGTACGTCATAGGTAAAGACCACTTTCAATAATCAATGCTTAAACATGAATGAAAGTAATCAAGTTCTATGGTGAAAAAATCTCTGAGCAGGCCAAGCTTTAGCCTACCACGGTAGGCCCGTACTACTAGCCCTTAGACTAACGTTGTCGGAAGTTGATTAATCTTTAACGTTACATTTGAGTTTGACAAATATCGTATTTTTAAATGTACTTGTGAAATGAGCAGAGTGAGGTGTGGCACACAATGCCGTACTGTTGGTAGGCTCACCCTCCCATTACAATGGTGCACGTTAGGCCTTTGCCTGGGCCCTCATTAGTCAAGGCTAAATCAAGACACTACATGGTACAAGATGGGATTTTCCCCTAAGTATCATGTACTTATAGCAGTTAGTTGCCAGATGACTATTAAATATGTCTTCTTTGTGTTTCTAGGTCATGTGATGTTTTGATAGAATGGACTGACAGATCAGGAAATGTTGTATCATCCAAGGATTTGTCATTCAATAAACCACTACGTCACAATCAGCATGTGCGGATGAAGTGGGGGAAAACCTGGTGGAGGGGCAAGGTGCTCAATTTTGAGCAAGGAGGATGTAACGGTAAGTCATGAGTGGATTTTTATTAAACGATTTATGTACATGGTCACCCCGGCCTGAAATGAATATCAATGTGTCTTCTTGCAGATCAAAATTAAGCCATGGGTACATAGAGTTCACTGAAGTTCAAGTCATATACTGATTGCACACTACAAAGCTATTATTAACTCTAAACGGGAAGTGCATTTGACATGTTTGATAATAATTCAATGAAAAAATGCAATTAAAAGAATATTAGGGCCTACTGTTGACACATGCCTTTAAATGTTTGTCTTTAGAATCATCTGAGGGATCATCTGAGGAATCAGGGAACTCAGAAGACTCTAAGGATGACTCCGACAGTGACTTGGATGATGTGCCACTGACACAGCTGAAGTCATTAACTGCATCCAAACCCAGTTATTGTCCCATGACACACCATTATTTGTCCTCAATGCTATTGATTAAATTTCAAAAATATGATAGCGCACCTGTTGTATGTGTGGTTGGCAAATTGCCTAACTTCTTGTAATGTTTTTATACCCACAAATTTTCTTGTCACTTGCAGAACCGTTTGATGGATCCTGGGGTATTAAAGCTTCAGAGGATAACATGGACGATGTATGATCAGCACAGCTTCAGACAAGTCTGGTTTCTAATAAAAGTGAGTGACACTGAAATGGGTTTTGTTTTGATGTACTTGAAGTTTATTCCATGAATACATAGCAAGCAAAGGGTAGATGAAGATCCCATATGTATTGAGGACAAAAAATTCAAAACAAATCGTGTATAGGGAAACTGACTAGGTGCTGGTAAATCAACTTGAACACAGGAAAGATGTGCAAAGAAACTTGATGAGAGCTGGAATTTAACCTGCGACCTCTGCTTTACTGTACCGGCACTCTACTACTGAGATCAGTTAGTAGGGCGCTGGTACATTTATTTAGATGTCACAGGTTTGAGTCCCACTCTATTCAATGTTATTTGCACATCTTTCATATAGACACTTTTTTAGATTGATATTGTTCCATATTCTTACAACTAGCATTTTCCTGACCATTTGACTTTAGTTATTGATGGAGAAAGTCTGTTCATCACCCCCGTGATGGAATCACACTTTTGCAGGGCCAACACAGGTTATCAGTATCTATCTGTCACCAGACTTGAACATAAGTAAAATGTACAGGTTGTATCTAAATGAGCATCATAACAGTAGCAGAAAAGCTTCTCTAGGCTTCTACTCAAAAATCTTCAAAAAGATGAAACTAAAGTTTCACACACCAAAAAAAAAAGATCTGTGCGGTGTATGTGAGGCATACAGAAAAGGGTCAGAGGAAGAAAGAAAACGAATAGGTTTCGAGTATGAAAAACATATCCAAGAAAAATCCAAATCTCGAGAACTGAAAGATGAGATGAAGAAGAATGCAATAGCAAATCCTAATACGTTTGTCGCATCGGTGTTTGATTTGGAACAGGTTTTGTGTTTGCCTAAATCAGGCAGAGGGGAGTTGTTTTACAAACGTAGGCTATCATGTTACAATTTCACCATTTGCTTGGTGATGTCATAATTTCTTGAAGTCCAGTCACAGTTCTGTAAACCAGGTTCAAAAATTAAATTGAATGCATGTATTATTATGTAGTCAATGTTACACATACCGCCTTTTATTATCTTGTTGGCCTAATCACTCATGAAGATTTACATTTTAATGGGCTTGCAGGGGCAATAAAAAGCTGTTTATTATACTATCGTTTATTTATTAGAATGACCTCGTGAAACAATGGATAATGCAAAAACAAAGTGCAAACTTAAGCGCACGTTCTGACTTGCGCATGCGTATTGTGGATCGGCCGCCACGCGTGACAAGGGAAAGTGTAATATGCTCTTTTCACAAACTGACGTATCTGCATACGCCACTTACGCGTTAAACGAGAGGATCGAAAAGAAAATTCCACATACTGACTTTTCACTTTGACAAAACAAATTCTCTAAAACTGCAATGAAAAAACAAGAAGGAAAAGTAGCCATCGACTTTCTGGTGCTGGAAATTAACGAACGAAAATGCAACCATTTTCAAATCGATTTTTCTCACAACACTGTGAACTTCAGATACGTCGGTTCGTGGTACGATCGACGATATGCATGCTTTGCATATCAGTGCACTCCCCAAGAATCGACTGGTGAGTCTCCGAATATGATGATGCTGGGGAGGGAGACCAGGTTGGCAGTGGACTTGGTAATTGAAGGTTCTACAGTGGAGGACCCGGTAAAAACAGATTTTGCACGAGGGTTGAGGCAGAATCTGCAGGAGGCTCATAGCAGAGCTAGAGAGTGCCTCAAACAAAGTGCCAGGCATCAAAAGCGGAACTACGACCGCAAGGTGCATGGAGGAGGGCTGGTGGAAGGTCAGTTCGTCTGGCTTTTCAATAAGTCCAAGAAGAAAGGGAGGTCCCCGAAGTTAGAACTTCGCTGGGATGGACCATTTCTGGTGGTCAAGAAACTCTCTGATGTAACTTACAGGATTCAACGGAAGCCTGGAAGTAAGGCTTTTGTAGTTCATGGAGACAGGCTCAAACCATACACTGGCGAGACCCTAAAACCATGGCGATATGAGCCAAAGGTGATTGCGGAACCCTTGATGCAGGAAATAGCTAGGGGTCCCCAATCTATTGGGTTAGAGCTTGTACATGATGGAGTGAGTAAGGTTCGTGGAAGAAGTGATGAGCCTCCTGAGGCTCAAACAGTTGGTCCTTCCGGATACAAGGACGAGGGCAATGGCCCGACAGAAGCTCCCACAAGGTACCCTCAGATGGAACACCGGCTCCCGGCACGATATAGGGAGGATTTGGGGAAACTATAAATTGTGTTAAAAGTTCCTCAGGGGGAGAGATGGCCTATAATCCCAGGGTAGTTTGAGGAATTAAATTGATGAGGATGCTCTTAGGTATAGGCGAGACCTCATCAGCTGGGAAGGGCCCAGCTGAAGATGAAAAGGCCTCTCACTCAACGGTGAGCAACCTGTCTCGTGTGAGCCGTTCATCAATATCCCCGATCATTCGCTTGACTGGGAGGCCCCGTTCCATTCTCGACCTAGTGAGGAAAAGACCTCAGGCTGCAGGTTCCAC